TGCTGAAATGAACTGAATCTGGGTGTGTATCCCTTCTGATATGTCCACTGTTTGTTTCTAGATTATGCTTTCCCTTATATTATATTGGTGTTATCGTTGGTCACCCTGGCTGTGTACATGTCAGCTTCTGAAGTTGAGGTAGGTAAAAATAGCTTTTCTTATTCCTTTAAAACTCAATGAGTGTGTCCTAACAAGCACACATGTGCAGTTTGCAGCCCATGTGCTCCCATTTACCACAACACTAAATTGCAGCCCAGTGGGTGTTTTTGACACTGGGATACCGCTAAAAAAGTGGTGCAGCAAACACAGCAGCAACATGTGCCACCAAAACTAGAGCCTGGCCATTCAAGAGGCACAATCTGGCTGCGAGCAGCTAGTTGGGTGCTGGTGCTGCCCTAGGAGGCCCCCAGGACCACAGATAAGACCACAGATGCTGGCCCCAGCCTCCTCTACCCCACCCGGGTCAAATACAGGCGGCTGTTTTGTCCTGTGGGAAATGTGTGTCTCTGCATGGATGTGCTTGCTCATCAGGACATGCCCAATGTTATAGCTGTAGATACCTGAGAAACCAAGTATGAGATGAGGTAAGTGCATATGTTGTTCATGTGCGGCCAAAGAGCTCTTTCCTCTGCCACGGTGTCATCTGGAGTTGGTGTGTACTTGTGTGCATACACTTGGACTTTTCCCACTGCTTATGCTGCATACAAATAAACTTTCATTTTTGGCATCTGGTTCCAGCTATAGGAAACCCGCACAAGCCAGTCCTTGATGACATTCCCCAAGTAGACTAGGAAGAGATCAGATTTAGTGGTATCAAGGGTCAAATTGCAACTCTCATGTCCAACAGGCCTCAAGCAGCACCTTGCCATGCACGGTGCCCCACTTCACCTGCTTGAGAATCAGGCATAATTGAAACAGGAAAAGACTAACTTTTTTTTTTTTTTTTTTCCTTTTTTTCCCCCCCCCCCAAGTCTTTCAAGGATCTTCTGCTCAGGAAGAAAAGGCTTGTTGTTCTCTTTAGCCACTGGTTACTTCATGCCTATGGAATCATCTCGATTTCCAAGCTGGATAAGCTGGAGGAGGATTTGCCCCTACTGGCTTTGGTACCCACCCCTGCCCTCTTTTATCTAATGACTGCGAAGTATACAGAGCCCTCACGCATACTTTCAGAGGGAGCAAATGGACATTAAATCAACTTGTGCCAAGAAGCTGTCCTGATCACCTGGATTAAGCACCCTCAGAGCTTCGTTCATTCTTTGGGTCTTTGGTGTCTAGTCAGGTTGTTGCTGAACCAAACGCTTCTCGCAACACCTCAGAAAGACTGAGAGACTATGGACTCATAAGCTATGTCTACATAGCACAACATTGTGGTGTGCAGAGGTAACCGAGTTAGCTCAGATCCTGGCAGCAGTGTGGTACTCTGCCCAGGGTAGGTTACCTCAGCCTGGGAAGCAGGTCTAATTGGCCTGGGCAGGCTGCCACACTAATGTGGCTGCTCTGTTCCCAATACCTAAGCTAGCTTCTTCACCATGACCTTGAGTATCTCAGCACAGCACAATGCAATACTGTATAAACACACCCTTGGAACGAGCTGCATTTGCACTCTTACTGCATGACCAGTATGTATGGTTCCGGATGAGTGATGTCACTGTAAATACGCTGCTGGGACAGACCTTGTCATATCCATTTTGTTTGTACCTTATTTATTTCACAACACGCGTCTGAACAGAGCAGGAAAATAGAACTGGTTTTCTGGCACAACATTCTGGTGTCTGTCAGCCATCACTGGGAATCCCTGTCTTCCTGGAAAAAAAGAGTATGTACTGTGATGGCCAGAACCAGAAGGGTTAATAAGCAATTATAACAAAAGAAAATGCTTTTTGAAGATATCTGAAATACAGCTTATGAAACTGTTTTCTGTCTGTCTGGAGTATAACCTGCAAGAATTATATATAGCTTTTTATACTAATCTTGAAACAGCATGAATTTTAAAAAGCAGAACTAAAAAATAATACCGCAGGCTTAGCTGATTTAATAAATTTTTTTTCTGCTTAGGGTCAGTAAAATAAACTTAGGCAGGAACATGTTAATCTCAGATCCCAAAGTGATGTGGTGTGATTTGCTTATTGGGTAAACCCAAGCTTGGGCAGTAACTTATTGTAATGATTTCTAACACCTTTTTAACCCCATAGGACAACAGCTATAGAATAAAATTATAAATAATTATATAACCAACAAATTAGCATAAGCAGGATATAAAAGAGTACGCTAAGTAACCCTCGGGAAGGACGGAACAGAAGGGTCACTGCTGTCCCATTACCCCGGATCTCTCTTACTCCCTGTGTGAGCGAGGACCAGATCCTGGCAGAGGGATCTCCGCCTGGTACAACCCTCCAAAAGCGTGGATCGAGGATGCCTGACTTCGCTGAATCAACTTGATGTGTATCTGACTGAGGGACTATCGATAAGTTACTAACCAAGTGGGAACTCTTGGTTGATTTCTTTAATTAATTTTTTTGTCTGTTCATTAGCTTAACCTTTTTACTAACTGTCATATGTGCAAACCATATCTTTTGTTGTTATAAAAAAAAAAAAAAAAAGAATTTTACTTATAAGTAAAACTTGTCATTGCTTTCCTTCCCAACATCACCTCCTCGATCCCTAACCAAAAAGCCCAGTGGCTAATAAAGTTGCAGTGCTCAGTCAGTCTGCAACTAAATTGATATACTCACAGTGCCCAGCTGGCCTGTGACCAAGTACAAAGCAGTCAGTACCTGAACTTGCAGCTATAATTACATATTAGCATTTCATATGTGCTAAAACCCCATGCAGTCCAGCAAGCCCCTGCCCTTAGCGCTGGGAGAGAAGAAGGTTGAACGTCACAAAGCAGTCTACAGGGTGGAGTAGAGGTCTTCAGAAGGGATCTCTAGCAAAAAAAAGGGGTTGCCAATAGACTGAAAACACTCATCCTTCCAAAAAGTGGTTAATTCACACAGAATAGGCAATAGAAGTGTATCCAACTTGGCCATCTAATGCTGTGGACATTACTGAAGGACAATCTTCAGCAGCCAGTCTCTTGGGGTGAGCTGACTAATGACCTGGTGAAAGCTTAAGCATATGAAAATACGATTGGAAAGAGCTTGTCAAGCAAAAATTGTCTCCTGATGGCTGGGCCTCTGCATATACTGACAGAACCGTCAGCATGCCCTTTCACTAAGTGACCCTCGAATGCTGTTGGCTGCTTTACCCAATTAAACTGTCAGGGGCAACCCACATCTTGCAGCAAAGTGGATGCAGATGCAGGCAGAGAGGATAGCTCTGGGCACCATGCAGGTAGTTCAAAGCTATCTGTGTGTTTTGGGTACTAAATCAGCATGCTTCCCCCTACGTTACTGTTCCTTGTTCAACTGTAAATTCAGTAGACCATCATTCTTACTGCAGTGTTTAGTTTTTCCTGATAGCTTTATTTTCCAAAATGCCAATTAGCAGCCAGGGAAGATGGTCATGTCAGAACTGGCTTCTACAACAGTGCAAATAGCTATTTATTCAGGGAAACGAGGTAATTATAACCCTATGCCTTGACAGGAAAACATCTGCTTAGCATGTACACAAGTTATCATTTGCATGTATGCAAATCTGTACATCTGGAAATATGGCACCAAGACACGTGCATTTAAATTTAACGGGCAATTAAGAAAGTATCCTCCATAGAATTTTGCAGCCATCGATTTGCGCACAAAGATGCCGTAACTGTCCATGCACAAGTGCACAATAGGCAGGGATCCGGGTCTTCCATTTCCCACGAAAAAGAGGTGGATTCCCCCTTTTACCTGAGAAGAAGGTAGACTTTTCATTTTAATGGAGAAACATGCAAATTTTGCAAAGAGCTCTTTGCAGGGTGGCAGAGCTCCAGCCTGAATGGGGCTGGGGGGAGCGGGAGGAGGGCAGTCAAGCTGGGGGTGCCATGTGCATGTATATGCACACAGCCACCAGGCAGCCTGGA